TTCCATCTTTTCCTTTATCTTTCCTGTCTCAGTGGAAGTGGTGCCTCTCTTTTTAGCTTGAATAATCTCTCCATTTGTACTATGGATCTGTTTTCCTCCCATCTCTTTTAAAAAGCTTGCTCTACCAATCTCCCCCTATTTCTCTTTTATATTCAGACTCTCTTCTTTACTGCTTTTTCTCTCTTAGCTGTCAGACTTTGTTCAGATCTATCTCCTTTTAAGATTCAACCAATTGGGGCGCCTGGGTGGCATAATAGGTTAGGCATCAGACTTCAGCTCAGGTCATGATCTCACGGTTTGTGAGTTCGAGTCCCACATCGGGTGAGCACTTTGAGCCCAGCTTCAGGCTCCGTGCTTGGGATTCTCTCTCTCTCTCTCTCTCTCTGCCCCTTGCTCATTTGTGCCATTTCTCTCTCTCAAAAATAAATTAATAACAGAAAAGAGAAAAGAAAAGAAAAAAAAATTTCAACCAACTAAGTAAAATATAAAACAAACCCTTGAACTCTGTCGTACCCAGCACTTGCCTTTAATCTTTGCTTTTCATAGCCAGGCTACTTGAAAGTCTACTTTTTATCTCCATGGTTACTTTCTACTTATAGTTATATTGTAAATGGGAGAAGGTGAAGGGACATAAAGGGAGGCAAAGTTTTTCTACTTCACTTGAACTGCTAAAGTGATGACACCAGGAGACTATAAGTTAGTTATATATAATCAGTACCTGGCTGAAGAAGCCATATACAAAGAGAAGAATCACCTCAGTCTTTTTCTTCATTTTCACATGAATGTTCTTGCTGTATGTCTTCACACTTTTCCATGTTGTAAGGACACTTGCCATATTGGATTCGGGACCACTCTAATGACTTTTAACTTGATTACCTCTGCAAATTGTAGACCTTGTCTCCAAAAATGGTCACATTCTATAGTAGGAGTTAGGACTGGAACACGGATTTTTGGAGGGGAAAGAATTCAATGCACAGCAATAGCCAAAGCAATTTTGAAAAGAATAAAGTATGAGTAATTAGTCTACTCAATTTCAATATTTATTATATAGCTATAGTAACCAAGACTGTGTTGTATTGGCTGAGGGATAAATATATAAATCACCTTAACAGAACAAAGAATCCAGAGATAGACCCTCATAAATATGCACAACTGATTTTTTATAAAGATGCAATAGCAGTTCAATGGAGGAAAGCTACCCTTCTCAACAAATGATGCAGGAGCAATTGGACATCCAAAGGAAAAACGGAAACCTCCACCTGAGTCCTGTGGTTATATAAAAATTAACTGAAAATGGACCAGAGATTGAATTAAAATGTAAAACTGTAAAACTGTAAAACTTCTGGGAAATAAACAGAAAACACCTTACAGATATAGGTTTAAACAAAGAGTTCTTAGACTTCATACCACAAGTATGAGCCATAGAAAGAAAAATCAATGAATTGGACTTTATCAAAAGTAAAGCCTGTTTGCTCTGTGAAATACCCAGTTAAAAGAAAGAAAACACAAGAACTTTTGAGACTCATCAGTAACAAGCCAATTATAAAAGGGCAAAAGACACAGACATTTCATCCAAGAGGATATATGAACGGAAAACAAGCGCATGAACAACGTTCAGTATTATTAGCCATTGGGGAAATGCAAATTAAAATTAAGTGTCACTTTACATACCTAACAGAACGGCTAAAATAAAACATGTGACAACACCAAATGTTTGTGCAGAGGTGGAAAAGCTGGATCACTCCTTACGGGTTGAATTGATTGTAAAAGCCCCAACTAGAAACAACCCGGCAGCTCATTGCAGGTTTTCTTTATCTCTTCCACTCTGTGTTTATTATTGATATTTATATTGTTAAATCTAGTGGATGCTTTTCTGTTATCCTTCTTAATCTCTCCAGGATCTGTAGCGTTCTATTTTTGTAGAGTCCTGTCTGAATGAATGATAGTTTTTCTTCAGATTTCCTCTGACTTGATAGAATTCTCTCTTGATTTTCTTCCTGCCTGTCTGGCTGCTGCTTCTGGAGCACATCTCTCCTTTTGCTCTTGTCACCTTACATTATATTCTCATTGCATCTGCTAAAACATAAGCCAAAGCACGTTACTACTCTGCTGACAAACTTTCATTGGTTTCCCATTTCCTGGAGAGTAAAAGCCAAAGACTTTTTCTGGACCTCAAACCCACTTGATGTAGGTCCCTGTTTCTCCTCTAACCTCATCTCCTCCTTATCTTCCCCTCATTGGTCTCTTAGCTGTTCCCAGGATACACCAGACACTTTCTTTTTTAGGGCTTTTGGGCTTGTTCCCTCTACTTGGGATTTTTCCCCCTCTAGACAACTAACTGTATGGTTCATACCTCAGGTCTTTGGTGAAAGGTCTAGAACTCTTACCCCAATTATTCCAATTCTGATGGGATTTTTTTATCACATATATTTAAGTGATGGATTGTAGTTAGTATTTTAAAACAAAAGGGACTAATGTATTTCTTTTGTATTAGAATGATAATAAATCAGCTCAGATTAAGAATAGCATCTATGCTATAATAAGAAGAAAAGATGCCAGAATGCAAAAAGCACAAATGTTTCTGTCTCTTTGCCCCAAGTAAAAGATCAAAAGACCAGTGGAGTCTGGCATTACAGTTTTAAGACTGGGAAGCAATGGGAACTTGTGTTTTTGGTGTGATTCTTGATGCCTTGGTGTGTGTCTCTTTTCACCAATAGAAACCCTTCTCCAAACTAGACACACTCACTATTAGACATATTTTAGGATTTATCAGTTCCTTGAATAATGCTTTTTTACATTTGAAGGAGTATGGATATCTCTAATAGTATTTACGGTGTATAAATAGATGATCACTTTATTTTACGGTGTTATCATTGATCGTCCTCTCTAGATATTCCCGTGTTTCCTACGATCACAGCCACTGTGACTTTTCAGGAGTTTCGATATGATGAATTTGATGGCTCCATCTTTACTATACCTGATGACTATAAGGAAGACCCAAGCCGTTTTCCCGATCTTTAACTGACATGGAAAATGATGTCATCTGACCAAGGAAAGCAAGAGAATACAGAGACCCCAGAAGTGAATCCAAATAGAAGGGACAAATATTCCACGGAGAAAAGGGAATTACATTGAATCGACACATCAGTAAAATGATATGATGAAATGGGCCTTTAAAAAGAATTTCAGCAAGTTTCCTGATGTGCCATTTTCAGTCTTTTTAAAAATATACATATTATAAGTGTAATAGTTTGACACCTTAATGACCCTGAGTACTTCTTATGTAAAACAGCTCTAAGTGCTGTGATTTGTTTTTAAAGATTTTTACACTTCTTGTTGAAATATATATGCATATAAATATATCTATATCTAAAACACTCCTGGACCATTAACATAAATTAAATGTCTTAAGAGATATGAAGCCCTTTTAAACTTGTCATCTTATATTCAAGGTGATATTTATAAATACTCCTTCAAGCTTTGTTTTCATAAAATGTAAACTATGTAACATTATGTATAGTTCAGTAATTTGAATGTTTGTTCAATATAATGAACTAGAAGGAATGCAGTTTTCTGTAGATGAATGAACCAAATGGTAACCATTAAACAATTGCATTTATATGTTGCAATACATTTCAGAAGGAGCGTTCACTCTGCAGGGAATAAGGTACCTCCTTTAGCACCTTAGTGCAATTCATCGTGGTGCTATTTGTTTTTACCTGAATTCTTTCTTCAATGAAAAATGTTTGTTACTAATCTTCCTTTCATAGAACCTCAATTTTTTTTTCTAAACTTGAGTTTAAAAGTCCTTTTTGTGTTCATGATAAGGTGTGGTTAGCATGCTTAAAGATACTCCTCTTCCAAATCTCAGCACTTTAAAAATACTCCACAAATTTTTAAACTTGCTTCCTAATAACTGCACATCATTCTGATTATTTTGTTTTTAATGGAACATGGATGCATTCGTGTCAGTTTTAAAAAAACAACCCACATATTTTGGATGTCCCTACATATTTAATGCTTTCAAAGTAAGGTAAAAACATTTTATATGCTAACAATATTTGTTACCAGCTAAATTCCAGAAATGTACACAGGATCGACAGTTCCTACTGTTTATTTTTTTAAGTCACAAGAAAATATTTATTGATTTTAATTAATCTCCGAAGTGAAATCATGCGTTACTCATTTTTGCATTTAAAATTTTTCATATTTATTCCAAGATGGTTTGAAGGTCCAAGAATGAAAATAAATTAGGGAGAATAATGTATTACAGTCATAAAATGTTATGCTGTATTAAAGAGCTTAAAGAAATGTTTTTTAAATGTGTACTGATAAATGTGTCAGAATGCATCTGTCAAATTTTGTAGAATGACCAAATAGTTTAAACTTTTTCCAGGATTTTAACTAATTTGAATGAATTTAGAGACTTTTATTGAAGAGGTGATTTATTTAAAAATCCAAAGCATCAACCATAAGAAAATTTTATAATAAACATCTTTAAAGCTGCATCTTCATGCTGAAACATACTACATTGCATACGTTGACATTTTATTAAATACATTTTATAATGAAGTAATCATAGTTAAAAATTCAAAGACCAATTACTACCTTGTGTGGGTCTGTTGAATTTTGTGGAAAAAGTTGGTAAACCCAGATTAGGTTTATTGAATAGAAGTTGATCCCTATTATTTTGGGAATGCTTGTTGATCAAGTGACTTGGAGACTGAATTATCCTGTCGGTGATTATATGAGGTGTGAGACACTGAACAGCAGTGGGCACTGTTGCTTTTAGGCTCCCTCGCTTTGTGGGAATATGGTATGCTTCAGGAGTAGACTGCAGATTTTTTCAGACATACAGACAACTTAGTGGATAAGAAACATGGTAAATTGCAGCTTGGGATTTATCAAGCTCCTAAAAGCTGTGAATATTTTGCTGGGGTACACTGGAGGTAGGAAGACTACTGAAAACTTTTGCACTTGGATTTTGTTTTTAACTCTTATCTTCTTCTTTCATAAAGAATAGTAGATTATCCATTCCAAATTTTTTTTTTTTTTTTTTTTTTACTCTCTCATAGAAGCTTATTTAAAAGTTCAGTGGGTGATGGGCACCCATATTAAGGAGAGCACTTGTTGTGATGAACACTGGATGTTATATATGTGATAAATCACTAAATTCTCCTTCTGAAACCAATACTACACTGTATGTTAACTAACATGAATTTAAATAAAAATAAAATTAAAAAGTTCAAATTTAATGAAGCAATCAGGAAAGACTTTGTTTAAGAATTCTTCAGTCTTTGTTAAGAATCCCCAGTCTTTCAGGGATCAGCCCCTCTGGGTTGATCCAGGTTTTAAAAGGGCAACCTACTATCTCCCATTCTGGGTGGGATACGAGCCTACATATCTGTATTATGTATTATCACTCCACCAAAATGTCTTTTATCTGATCACAGAGGGCAAGCAAATGTATCTCTTATGATGGTGAAAACAAGGAGTTAATTAATGCAAATAAACTTTTCACAATATTAGACTTTTCAAAATGTGCCTTTTAATCCAGTTAATGAAGCTCTATGTATGCTGTGTTTCAAGTAAGTAGATCAAAAAACCATATATTTTGATAATCTCACGTGAAAATCTAGATTTTGTGTTGATTTATTTAAGTCTGTAAAATTCTATATGCCTTCCAACTGTGACTGAAGAAACTGTTTAAACTTGGGAGACTGTAAAATGGTCACCTGACATGGCCCTTTACAAGTGCTCAATATTCCTGCCACCTAGTACAGAATCAGAGGAGATAGGATTCTTGTCTTCAAGAAAATTGTTCCCTAGAGACAATTTGCCTCTGTGTGTAGTCATTTGTATACAGAGAATTGTCACACGTCACAAAGGGAAGCATAAAGCAGATGCTGTGATTATGGGGGGGCAGGTCCATACAGTGGTCTGGAAATGAACGCATTTTCAAAGAAGCCGATAGCAGCTGTAGCCAAAGAACTACCAACGGCTGACCCTTGAACACACAGGGGTTAGCGGTGTCAACCTCCCCCTCTTCCCCCGCAGTCAAAAATCCATGTAACTTTTGATTCCCCCCCACCCCCCCCACATTTAATTACTAACAGCCTACTGTTGACTGGAAGGCTTACTGACAAAGAGGTGATTAACAAATATTTTGTTCATTATATATATTATATATTCTTGAAACAAAGCTAGAGAAAAACATTAAGAAAATGATGAGAAAATATACAGTACTGTGCTATATTTATCAAAAAATCTGCATATAAGTGCAGCTGTACAGTTCACACCCATGTTAAGTGTCAACTATAGTTTCTTTCTCCTGCTTAGAACTGGTGTTGCGCCCCACTCACTCAAACATGGGTTTTCCTGGTGGTGTTCATGTACAGTTTGTTATTCACACCTTGGGGGATGGTGGTAAATGATTGTTTTAGTGAGCCTAGTCTTTCAAATTGAGAATTAGTGAGTAGCATGGGGCACAGTATGTCTCTACTGTTAACTCTAGCAAAAGGTACCTTAACCATGTTTTCAGAATCAACAAAATGCATCCTTACCAAACTTGTTATATTTGAAATTAGGAAGTTTCAAAGACGACTGATGGTGAAACTTGCCCCAGAGATAATTGGACAGGAAGTGTTAAACCACTTGTAAAGACAACAAAATTCAACTTGGTAAAAGCCCATCAGTTGTATACTATGAATTAGCAGAAACTACCTTTGCAAAGCATTTTATGACAGAAATCTGTGGCAATAGTATGTCCTAGTCAAACCATCTCAAGTATTAACATATTTTTCGGATCATGTGATCCTTCTTACAGTACTATCCAGTGAACTTTAAAAAAATTTTTTTAAAGGGTATCACATTGTAACTGTGTGTGTGTGTGTGTGTGTGTGTGTGTGTGTGTGTGTGTGTAATGTTTATTTTGAGACAGAGAACAGGGGAGGTGCCGAAAGAGAGAAAGAGAATCTCAAGCAGGCTCCGTGCTGTCAGTGCTGAGCCCAAGGTGGAGCTTGAACTCATGAACCATGAGATCATGACCTGAGCTGAAATCAAGAGCTGTTGGCTCAACCGAGCCACCCAGCCATCCCTCCAATGATGAACTTTTAAAACTGTTACAGCTCAGTTTAGAATAGTGCTTTCAGCCACAATGGCACCTATGGTACACAAAATTAGAATTTCACGCTGGCCACAGCACTTATAAATACTGAAATAAAATCTCTTAAAGGCTTTAAAGAAAGGTACTTGGCAATCCTTCCTGAATTTGATCATGCTTTGCAGGTGAAAACAAGGTAGAAGCTGAGTGTAATGTAAAAACAAACCATCACTTATATCATCTGTACCTCTCATAGAGTTCTTGGTCACTAATGGTGGCTAACAATGACTGGCTTTAGTATTTTAAATAATGAATGTGGGGGGCGCCTGGGTGGCGCAGTCGGTTAAGCGTCGGACTTCAGCCAGGTCACGATCTCGCGGTCCGTGAGTTCGAGCCCTGCGTCAGGCTCTGGGCTGATGGCTCAGAGCCTGGAGCCTGTTTCCGATTCTGTGTCTCCCTCTCTCTCTGCCCCTCCCCCGTTCATGCTCTCTCTCTGTCCCAAAAATAAATAAATGTTGAAAAAAAAAATTAAATAATGAATGTGGGTGGCGTGGGAATTTCAGAGGACAGGACAGAAGCAGAAATTCCGTAGTTTATATACATTGTGGCTTCTCAGCTGGCCCCTTTGGGATGATGAGGCAGTAGCTGGACCTACAATTGCCTCACCTCCCCCTAGATCCTCCTTCAGCTTCTCAGACTATCAGCCAGGACAGTGAAGGGTCCTAGTTTCTGCAGGACACCCCTGCCACTGAGGTCAGAAGCAAACAAGACCTGATGGACCTAAGTTTCAGCCCACCCTTGTGGGCTCTGGCTCCTGTGTGTGGTTCCATCTTACTCCTACTCCTCCCAACTATCCAGCTTCCACTGTAGACTGCCAGTGGGGCTTTAATCTCCAGCATTGCAAAGACACTTTTGAGACTCCTTAACCAGCCCTCAAAATTAAGGTCAAATCTCTGTTAAGAAAAGTTGCTTCCAGTGATTCTGCTCCTCTGAACACCGATAAGAGAAACATTCTTAACCTATATGATACTTGTCTTCTGAAACTTGATACTTAAGCAAATTTTAACTTTTCACAGTGAATGAAAAAAGGCAGTTTTTACACCTGGTATATTGATAGCATTGTATCCTAACTGAAAAGTAATATTAAGCATCATTTGGATCATCCCATTCCTTGTGACCCTAGACCTTTAATTTCTATGTACAAATCATACATTAGCTAACCAGCTTTTTAAAAAAGGACATCCTTTTAAAGGACTAATTTTAATGACGTGACCTGGGAAAATAACCTTCACAACAGAAGACTTTTAAAAGAACGTGGGGCGCCTGGGTGGCGCAGTCGGTTAAGCGTCCGGCTTCGGCCAGGTCACGATCTCGCGGTCCGTGAGTTCGAGCCCCGTGTCGGCCTCTGGGCTGATGGCTCGGAGCCTGGAGCCTGTTTCCGATTCTGTGTCTCCCTCTCTCTCTGCCCCTCCCCCGTTCATGCTCTGTCTCTCTCTGTCCCAAAAATAAATAAAAACGTTGGAAAAAAAAAAAATTTAAAAGAACGTGAACATCACTTCCCCGATTTTTGTAAGGACAGAATTAAAAAAAAAATTAGTTCTATCAGATCAGATCCTTTCTCTGTGAATTCTTTGATTACCAGTAACATCTACTATTACACTTTAAGTATATTCTTTAGAATATCCCCACTGGTAAATTAGCATGGTTCACATATGAATTATTTTGCTAAAGGATGTCTAAATGTATTTCACACAGACCTCGACATAAAATGAAAACGGCATTCAAAATAAAACTGAATAAAGCAATCTCAAACATCTACAACTCCAGATTAGTCTCATTTAGAAAAGCTGCTTGTGTCAATAAAGCCTTAGTGATAGACATACTCTTAAAAGTACCAGTAACATTTGTCACATTGATAGTTAGCTAAAATAAACACAATTACTGTACCTGATCACAGAGAAGTATTTTAGAACAGGGATGAAATTCATTAGCTTAGATTTGAGGCAAAAGGAACAGAAATCTTAATTCCAGCTTGAAAGGTCTATCTTCAAACAGCATGCCCTCCCACCACATCCCAAGTACATAATCTGGTGCCCAACTGGAGAAACTGGTATTGGTTTTGCTAGAGGGAAAGTTGGCTTGTGCCTGCTGATACCACAGAACCTTGGTCAATTCTAAGATGCAACACCAAGGTTAAAGAAAATTAGTTTTTTACTGTTCCAGTGAAAGCCTAGTTTGATTTCCCCAAGTACCTAACATTTTCCTATGCTCCACATAATAGGTTATCGCTACCAGGAAGGTGATCCAAAATCCGGTCACAAAAAGAAAAACATAGCCTTCTCAAAGCCTTGTCTCCACACAATTTATCTTAGAGCTTCTGCTAAAACATTATCCCAAACTAATTATTGTATAGTTTTGAAAAGCTCCATAATCAAATGGCAGGTACCATTTACTGACCCAGGCATATTGTTTTTGTAACTACCAAAATGCATGGCAAAACCCCTCATTCTAGACAGGAAAATTAAGGTAAGAAACAGGTCTCCCACCTGGTGAATGAAACCAAAGTAAGAATGGACATTCATATAGCTTACTACTTCTCATTCACTCCTGAAGGATTGAAGTAAATAAATAGGACAAACATTTTTCTAACAAAACCACCTTTATTTTTAAATCATTTTTACTACCAAATACAGAACATAACTCAGCGTGGAGGCAGTATTCACTTGATTTCAACTGATTATGTGGTAAAGGGTTGTGTCCCCAGTGCAACCCTACCTTTGTGCATAAAATGTTCACTAGAAGAATAACCTAGAAGTGTGGATTCCCTTCACTGTTAGAATCTTAAGTCAATGGCACTATTTTAAAGCCAAAAATTTCTTAACTGCCTTTGAAAAGTTAGTATATTTGTTTGTATTCAGAGATTACAAGTGAGGAAACAGGTTTTACTATTAGGTTTAACCACATGATTGCCAATATTTTACTTGTTTTTTGACTTACAAAAATGGCAATGTCATATGGTTCAACCCTTACTAAAAAAGTTTTCCAAAGTTTAAACAAATGTCATTTGTCTTCAACTTTGTGTTTAAAAAACGCAATGGGACCATTACTAGAACTTTTTACTCACTATAGACAAAATTCCTTTGATAAAATCTTTAAAAAGTTACTTACTACAAACTGTAAAAACAATGCTGCTTTTCTATATGGCATTTTAAAAGTTAAAAAAAATGATACTCAAACTTGCATAAAAGCTACAATTCCAAGTCTCATTTTCTCCTTAATGCCAGCCAAACACTACTCATTTCATAACTGAATAAATAGACTATTTAGTATTTTACAGTAGATACATACCATTGACAGTTTCTATACTATTCCAGAAAAGGCAAATATTTATATTTCACTGAAAATATAAATTTACTAGATATAGGTGGGATCATTTATCCTAAAGTTAACTGCTTTACTCAACCCCATTCCTACGCCCATAATATGAGAAATAAAATTACACTAAGACTGTTTTAGATAGAAATAAAACCAACTTTGACAATTCTGATGGCAACTAATCGCTACACTGACGGATTTCATCTCATTACTGTATTTCAATATGTGGACTGAAAGGGGAAAGAACTTGATTTGTAAAATGAATGAGGTAAATGTCATACATTCAACAGTGTAAATAAATACAAATACAGTTTTACAGGAACATGAACATGAGTTTAAGGGTTTTATTATCAAAGTCTTGTAAAACAATTTCAGAAACTGTACATCAACATGGCACAGACTGTAGCCTACTTTTGTTTTTACTGCACAAAAGTGAAGCTTGAAACTCCTGTAACTAAGAAAACAGTTGCCTAACTACTTTGCATTTAACATGGAATCACTGTGTGCATAAGATTACTACTGCAGTAACAGTAACACAAATTTATTGGTTTTATACAACTTGAGATCAAATAAAAAGTACATTATCAAGTAGATTTGTCTTATTTTAAAAGCGTATGAAGGTCAATTTAAAATGCACTACCCTCTTTTTCCAACACTGAGATTAAAACAAATTAATAAAAGAGTGGAAAATTGAAAATCAGGACAAGAGAGAACTTTTCTCTTACAGATGGACTCAGGATAGGCAGAAGCTTTCACTGATGTAGATGTGGAATAAATTATTTCAGGAAAAAAAAATTCCCAAACACCTTATGAAAAAGTATACAACTCTACTTCAAAATATGCTATTTACTCACTGCCAAAGACAGTTTCATTTGAAATCTTGTTTCTGTAATTAAAGCCTAATCAGCCATCAAAAAAGGTTAGTGCATATATAACCTTTCAAAGTTAAACAAAAGCCACAAAAATTTAGCCGCAAGGCTTAAAGGATTATCTATTTCAAATGTTCATTTTCAGGTGTAACTGTAAGAATGTTAATTTGTCATGTCAACAAACAAGACCATAAGTAGATCCATCATGTTGGAGGATTTTAATGACATTTAGGATATTCCTGCCACAATAACATGCAATCAGTGCATTCCCTACATGGCTCTATTACGGCAATGAATCAAATTCTAGAAATACTATAAGTGAACTTACTTATAATAAAGGAGATCATACAACATAAACAATCCATGCCTGCTGTAGATGCATGCAGCTTTTCATTTTTGTTATGAAGCAGCACCAGAATAGTAAAACTGCTTGGATACTCAATCAGATTTCACCATGTCAAGAATTGGTTACTCATGTGTCATTTTCTAAAAGCTTTTGGATGTAAATAACTAATATCAATATCAGGAGCTTTATAACCATTTATAACTCAGAGCTGTATACATCTAGGTTTGAGATGAACAAATACAGCATTAAGAAATCACACAAAGGAATGACACTGATGCATGTATACAGTTGGATTCCCATGGAGGCAATATTCAGTCACTCATATCCATGTCTTCTTCATGATGATCATCCCCATTCACTTTGGATTCTCTTAGTGAATCACCAGTTCCCTTTTCCACAGAACATTCTTTTGTTTTAGGGGAACTTGGTTCTGTTGGCTTCTTCTCCTCTTTTTTCTCTTTCTCGCTGTCATATCCTTGTTCCTCTTCATCGTAATCCCGTGTAACCTGCTTTGCCAAGGAGAATAAAAAAAGTAAACGTCTTCACAGAAAAACCACTTCTTAAAATTACCAGCACTACCCTAAGTATCCAAGTAAATTAGTTTGGAAACATACTTTCACATCTTTATCACTCTCTGATTTTCTTTCCCGATCCTTTTCCTTATCTTTACTTTTCTTCTTCTTGCTTGTTGAACGTTCTCTTTCATCTCTGCTTCTTTCTTTGTCTTTATCTTTCTTCTTCTCCTTTTTATGTCTAGGATGACAGTAAAAAAATTCTCAAAAAAGATGCTTTAAAGGAACCACTCAAGAAGTTTCACCCTTAAGTGTAGCAGTAAGTTTAAACTTCTTCAGATGGTGAGCCTGACCCAAATTCATACGACACGAAGAACAAAGATCCAATTTCAAAATACCGGATACAAGCTGTGCACAAATAATACAGGCAAGAGGACTGGAAGCGGGTTACAGGTCTAAACGCTCACTCCCAAACACTGTTTATTAGAACACAGTCTCAAGCATGGAGGGAATGAATACATCAGCATGTTCTTAAGCACTTTAGTTCCTGAAAAGGAAGGAAAAGTCTAGAATTTTAAAAATAAAAACAGTTTCTGAAATATAGAGAAGTACAGATCCCTATGACTAATATTCTTACCTCCTAGGGGATGGTGAGCGAGACAATTTTCTTTTAGGTGACCTAGGCTTTTTAGGAGATCTCGTGCCACTCCTACTTCGTCGTCGTCGTCTCTCTCTAGAAACACAAATGTGCAAACTAGACTTTAAAATACAGTATTATCTAAAATATGCAGGCACATCATAGCAGATGTGCCCATGAGAGAGCTCCACTATGAACTCCTACAAGTTTCTGGTAATGAAAAATCCATTTATTTTCCTTTAGTTTTTTTTCTTTTTTTTTCAGATTTTTAGTAGTAATCTCTATACCCAATGTGGGGTTCAAACTGACAGCCCCAACTTCAAGAGTCGCATGCTCCACAGACTGAGCCAGTCAGGCGCCTCCAAAAGACCCATTTTCAAATACTGTTTTGAGCTGAAGAATCAAATGAATAATAAACAGCTGCAATGTTTTTGCAAACTGTGTGCTTTTCCTTTAATGTCCTCAAGAAAACCTTAAGTTTTCTTAAAGACAAAAGTTCTAATGCGTGAGGAAAAAGTCTGAAGTAAATGTTCAGAAACTGGTTTAAATTCAGTGGCTAGAAAAGGTATATAAAAGTATGTTGTGATATGAAAGTCAATTGCTAATAAACTCTAGGACAATTTTTTTTTTTAGGTAAAATTCAAGGAGTGGAGTTAGTAATAACAGAGATCAAACTAACTCCCCACATTCCAACAAATCATGTTGCCGTCAACCCTGCTTTGAGCAATTGTTTTTAAGATGTATATAGCCTTTCCCATCTTTAAAACTGTGGGTTTTTCTTTTCTTTTTAAATATTCTGCCTGCCATTGTTCTGAAAATTTTTAAGACTTATAAGATGACCGTTATAATAATTTAGGCACAAAAAATAATCAAAATCCCACATTTTCGGTTGTCTTTTTTAAAAAAAAGCTTTTTGACTCTTACAGCCCTGGGACCTCTACCACCAGAAACATTACACACAACTTTTCATTCATCAAATATTTATTAAGCTTGTCAAGTCTGTATACCTCATTCTTTTTGCTACCGCTCTGTGTAATCGAAAACTCCAAATACCCTAGATAGAACAGATGTTTTGTATTTGTCACATAGTATGTATGCAACAAAAATTTAACATCTATCAGTACATTTTCTTTTTACTGCTGAATAATATTCCATTGTATGAACATACCATTTTGTTTACCCATGTTAGTTAATGGGCACTGGGGTTAACTTTTGGCTTATTATGAACAATGCTATTATAAATATTCAATGCAAAAGTTTTTGTGTGGAAATTAGGTTTTCATTCCTTTTGGGTACATCCCTAGGAATGAAACTGCTGTGTCAAGAAATTCAAACTTTTTAAGGAATTGCCAGTTTTCCAAAGTATCTGCCCCATTTTAAAAATATTTATTTATTTTTAGAAGAGTACAAGTCGGGGAGGGGCAGAGAGGGGACGGAGGATCTGAAGCAGGCTCTGCGCTGACAGGCTGACAGCAGCGAGCCTGATAGAGGCTCATGAACTTGAACTCATGAACTGTGAGATCATGACCTGAGCTGAAGTCAGAAGCTCAACCAACTGAACCACCCATGTGCATTTTACATTCATATCAGCAATGTTCAGAGTTCCAGTTTCTCCACATCCTCACCAACCACTAGTTACCATCTGGTTTTTAAAATATGACTATCCTAGTGGGTGTGAAGTGTTTTTAGTTTGCATTTCCTTGATGACTCATGTTGAACATCTTTTTATGCACTTATTGGACACCTGCTTACCTTCTTTGGAGAATTGTCACTTCAGATCCTTTGCCAAATTTAAATTTGGTTATTTGACTTTCTATGATTCTGCACATGTATTTCTGTACATCCTTTCTATGATTTCTGAACAAATCATATGGCCTCTCATTTTATCAATAAACCACTATGTATGTGGATATTTTAAGTATGACTTACTATAATAAAATGAACTTAATGTAGCAATTCAGCATACATTAACATTAAAACTTAACTGTTAGGAAAAGAACACAAGCAAACCAAATCAGGATGTGAAATGTATACGGCAAACATAAAAACTGACCTTTATAACTGAATTTCATGTCATTTCAAATGTAACACCATAAAACGTAAACAGAACTTTAGGTTACTCTTCAAAATTGCCTTAAAAAAACTTCAACGCTGAAGTATGTACTGATGTACTAGAAAACATTTAATGCTCACAGTCTACTATTCTTGCAAACAAAGTTTTAAAAGGTGCCAAGAACTCCTAATGCCACCTTACCTGCTTGCACTTCTGGAACGTCTGGCTGTGCTATAACTTTTTGGTGGTGTTTTGGAACGTTTCTTTTCTTTATCTTCTTTCTTTTTTTCTCTAATAGATGAACACAATTTATGAATGCATAAGAAGAGTCAGCTAATATAAATTAATATAGCACTACAAAAAGCACAATGAAATCTAATCTCATTCCTGAAAAATGAATGGTATTCTTATAGAAACAGTATGGGAATAATAGCTCAAGTGGCATATTTGTAGGAAATCAATTTTAAAAAATCCCATTTTCCTGGTATTACACATAAAACTCTCCAACAAAGCAAAACAGACTGTATGATGAGAAAATAATAAAGGATGATGGCCAATTTCTTGGTATATACTCTGGCAATAAACACCAATAGTTTTAATAACTGCTTCTAGGCTCTTCAAACCTCTTCTCTCTAACTGAGTACCAGTTTCCCAACCCACCATGGCTCTATGTCCTCTACTATCAAGCCAAACCCAACAATGTGCCACTGGATTTAATCGTCAACATTACCAATATTCTAAAGCACATACTCTATGTTGTTAGTTAATTTCACCATGGACCAAGCCAACCTTCTACTTTTGTTTCCTGCTACATATTCTGGGCTATTCAGTGCTATCAAAATAATTCCCATCATAATGGACTGTTGCTACAACCACACCTCAACTTCTCCAAGACTCTGGGCAAAAGGTAACCAATGTCTTTGTTGAATGAGAAGTCCTTTAACCCCATAAATGTATACATACCCAGCCTCAACTATTCTATAATTTTAGACATTAAAGTATCTCTTTTTTTCCCCCCTAAGCTAATTGCCCTATGCTACAGTTTCTATTTCACTCCTTTCCTTCTCTGGTCACCCTGCTTCCTTGAGTTACCTCCTCTCTTCATTCAAGTCTTTACCATCTAATTTCCAATTACTCTAACAGTCCCTTAAGGAGACCCAGTCATGTTTCCACAAGCTGATCCTTTATCAGAAATCTTTTCAAAGTACAAATCTGAAAATAATAGCTCCTGATTCCATTAACTTTTCCATCTGGAGACACCGTCTCCTGGATCAGGTGTGTCTAAGTGTGAATAACACAGCCTTCCGTGTGTCACCTGTCTCCTTACACTTTTCCGACCTCATTTCCTAGTTCCCCTACACCAAAATACTTGTTTTCCTAAGAATGTATGCTAACTTCGTAAACTACGTTCTATACCTGAAACCATGTTCTTAAATCCAGTCAAATCTTTCAGATTTTTTTTTAATCTGAGAGAGAGAGAGAGAGAGAGAGAGAGAAAGTGAGCATAAGAACGTGGGAAACAGGCAGCAGGAGTGAGAGAATCCTAAGCAAGCTCTACATTCAGTGTAGACCGTGACATAGGACTCGATCCCACAACCCTGGGATCATGATCTGAGCCTAAATCAAGAGTTAGATGCCCAACTGACTGAGCCACCCAGGTGCCCGTCAAATCTATCAGAATTCAATACTCAGTCACTTCTCAAGTCTCTTCTAACACGACTAACAATGATACTTCCTTGGTAATCACATTAATCTCTCTTATATAAGAAAAGTTCCTTGAGGAAAAGAATGCCCAATTCCTCTTTGTATAATAAAGGTTTCATTACACAAGTTTGTTTGATTGACTGCATTAAGATGACTCACTCTGTAAAATATAGTAACAAAGCCTCCTTTCCCAGTTGAGTTATATGCTCACCAAAAATAAATTCTTCTGGATACCAGTTGTCTTTATTATTGTAATTACATAATTATACAAATGGATAACAGTCTAAAATAAAAGGTCTGCTTCTAAAAATTTAGGCAAATATTATAGAAAGTGATAAGAAAAGTTGCTAAAAAAACATTGTGAAACTATGTGACAACTAAAATTTGAGAAGAAAAAATTTAGTCACTTTTAAAATGTGATAGTTCTCTTGTCACCTTAAAGGTGGCTGAAACGAAAAAACAAAAACAATGATTTAGTAGATGTTACTCAGGACTACATATTAACTTAAAAGGGTCTGGCCCTAAATGAAAAAGACTACTGAATGGATGCTTGTTTAAGTCCAAATAAAATGTTAAGGTAGGATGTTTAATGAATCCTTCAACTTTAGCCTTCTGCTGGTTCCAAATCTTGGGATGAGACACTCTAAGTATGGTTCAGCAGTTCTTAAAAAATATTTATAAGGTGCTGACAATGAGATTTGTAAAGATGAATTAAGGCATGGCTGTCTACCATGAACTCTTTAGCAGACCAAAGGAATGGCTGGTAGCACCATATGCTTAGCAGGGTTGAGTGAAAAGAAGGAAATGAAAGAAGGCAGTGGGATAGCTAAGAAATTTTATTACAGGGGCGCCTGGGTGGCGCAGTCGGTTAAGCGTCCGACTTCAGCCAGGTCACGATCTCGCGGTCCGTGAGTTCGAGCCCCGCATCAGGCTCTGGGCTGATGGCTCAGAGCCTGGAGCCTGTTTCCGATTCTGTGTCTCCCTCTCTCTCTGCCCCTCCCCCGTTCATGCTCTGTCTCTGTCCCAAAAATAAATAAAAACGTTGAGAAAAAAGGAAAAAAAAAATTTAAAAAAGAAATTTTATTACAAAGAAATTATTATCTAGGTTTTCAGCTATAAGGAGAAGCCTCAAGTTTGCAAAAGGGCACAAGAAAACAAATGTCAGTCTCCTCAAACTTCAAAGAGTCTCTTCTCCAGTCTAGCCCTATCCCCTTTCACCACCTCTTTTGTCATTAAGTAGCACTGTATTTAAGTCTTGGAAACTCTAAAATTTGTCTTCCCACTCAATGTCAACGGTCTACTGTACCTGGTTTTTGATGTGCTCCTTGACCTTCTACCTCTCTCTCTGGAATGAGATCTTCTCCGTCTTGGACTTTTGGATCGTCGCCTACTTCTTGACTTAGAATGTGATCTCCTTCTTGATCTGCTTCTTGATCGCCTAATAATGCAAAAAGAAAGCCAATACACATATATAAATGCAGAAAGACTAGCTTTGTGACTGTTTCATTTAGCATCAAATGATTCAGACATATGGGTTAACCATCAATAAGTATGGGTAATTTTCTGTCAGTTGCTGATACTATTCATTTAGTCCATAAATAAAACATCTTTGATACACTAGAAATTAATACTTTTTTTTTAACACCTGGAATTTCTTTTTTTTTTTTTTCAACTTTTTTTTTTTTTTTTTATTTATTTTTGGGACAGAGAGAGACAGAGCATGAACGGGGGAGGGGCAGAGAGAGAGGGAGACACAGAATCGGAAACAGGCTCCAGGCTCTGAGCCATCAGCCCAGAGCCTGATGCGGGGCTCGAACTCACGGACCGCGAGATCGTGACCTGGCTGAAGTCGGACGCTTAACCGACTGCGCCACCCAGGCGCCCCTAGAATTTCTCACCTTACCTGTCAAAATAGTCCTCCTATGCCCTACAAGTCTGAGCCTAAAAATAGTGCTAGACAATGAAGGAAAATAGAAAGTTATCTGATTCATTTGCATCATCTTCCACAACTACACAGAATTTTATCATGTATCTTATGTGAATCCTCACTACTGCAGGTTAAATCTATGTCTCTATTACCAAATACTTACATATTCTTACCATGTGCCTTACAAATACTCGTTCTCACAATAAGCCTGTTGAGTAGGTACCATTCTTATTTGCATTTTTTAAATGTAATCCACTTAACGTGTTCTTGCCATCTATGATTTCTAATTGTTTCACTTGATTATTTCACTTCTATTATTTCACTTGATTTACAACTTAAGAGATATCCGAGCAATGCAGATTTATATAAAAATATGCAACTCAGCACAGTCTCTTTGACTCTCATATCCCGTCAACATCATCATTATCTCTAAGTGATCACCCCTTTCCAGTCCTGTAACAGAAGTATTTCTCTGTGTCCTCTCCTCCTTTACCCCCAATCCTATATACTTTCTCTTCCAGAACTTAAGCACAATTAACTTTTTGATGTTGTCAATGATCCTCCTTCTTATATTTTATCCTCTTTTACAAATAATTAAAAATAAATTGTATCGTTTGCTTAAGACTTTTTTTTTTTTAAGTAGGCTTCATGCCCAGCACGGAGCCCAATGTGAGGCTTGAACTCACAACCCTGAGATCAAGACCTGAGCTGAGATCCAGAGTTGGATCCTTATCGACTGAAGCACCCAGGCACCCCAAGACTTTTGTCATTTAACTTATAAGGACCATTCAACTTGTTTCTAGGAAAATTTCTAGTATAGTCTAAACTTTTTGTATTCACTTCTTCAAGTTGTCCAGAGGATAGACACTTTAGAAATGAAAAAGATTTTTGTGTTCAAATCTCAATTATAAGGCAGCACATCTAAAACATTCTCTGAGCCCATTGTTTGAACATGAAAAAACAACAGCACCTATATTACAAGTACTCGTCGTTTAAAGTGAAATTAAAAAGTTCAGCTCTGCAGCGGGGCAGGTTGCCTGGTAGCTCAGTGGGTTGTATGTCCAACTCTTGATTTTGGCTCAGGTCATGATCCCAAGGCCGTGGGACTGAGCCCCGTGTTGGGCTCTGTGCTGGCATGGAGCCTGCTTAAGATTCTCTCTCTCCCCCCTCCCCTACTCACATGCTCTCTCTCTTAAAAGAAAAAAAAAATTAAAAAAA